ATGGTGGATGAGTGATTAGATGGGTGGATGAATGAGTGGATGGACAGATGGATGGATGCATGAGTGAACAGATGGGTGGATGGATGAGTGGATGGCAGAGGATGGATGGATGAAGGAGTGGATGCAGACCATACTAGGCAGGGTGAGTCTGCATCCCAGAACTGGACTCAGCAGGAACCAAGAGGAATGGAGGTGGCATGAGACCACGGAGAGACGCACTGTCAGGAGAGCTTTGCTTAGCAGGGAGGACCCCTGAGACTCTGGCTTTGCACTTGTGCACTCACAGGGTGGCTCTGGGGCCAAAGCCTTTACCCTCGCCTCTCTGGTTTGCAGATGAACGGGGCCCGGCCAGCCACAGTGTCCTCCAGACTCAGCCCCTGGGACAAGAGCAGCCTTTCTGCCCACCGTGTGGACCTGTCTGCAGTGTGAGAGGCTGTGCATCAGCTCTCCCCCAACACCCCACAGAGTCACTCTACCTCTGCGGGGCCTGGAGTGGGGGTCACAGCCTGAGGACAGCATCACCTGGGACCCTCCTGTGGGACACCTACCATTCTGTCGGCTGCTGACTCTGGGGCCATGTGGCCAGGAGGAGCAGGAGGGGATGTGGGCCATGGCTTCCCAATGGAGTGACTCAGGACAGGAGCTGACCCACCTCAAGGCCTCCCGACACCCAGCCACATCACGGTGCATGCCCTGCACCCTGGCTCAGGGCACTGTGAGCACCGGAGGGGACTGGACACCAAGTGAGAGGCCTGGAGGTGTGGCCGAGGTCCCCATCCCCCGTAGACACCATGCTCCCCAACGTGCCCTGTAGGACAGCCAGGTGACAGGGGCCGTGGGGAGGGTACTAAGAGGCCCCCACTGCTGAGTTCACTCACGCTCCCCACGTCAGGCACCCCCGCCCCACATGCATGTCCTCTGTCTGTATCCAGTCCGTGGGGAAGACCCTCCCTGCCCCCCCCAGTGCTTTTCACCTTCAGACTCCAAGTCGGCTTCCCACCTCCACTCTCCCGGCTCCCAGCCACTTTTGTGCACGCCCTGCCCCCTACCCCACACCCAGCTTACTGTGTCCTGCACCGGGTCCCCCTCCATCTCCCACTTTGTAAACCAGCTCCCAGAGCTCCCATCTCAGAACTCACTCCCCTGTCCCAGAGGGAGTAGGGGAACAACGCGTGCCACTTCTTGTCCCTGAAAGGTGTCCCATGCCAAGGAGCAGCCCCCTCCCCAAACAGCCAGTCCACACTGAGAAGGCATCTGATGGGACCCTTGCCCTCAGCTGACCAGGGTGGGAGGCGTTGACAGTAGCCATATCTTCATGTTGGTGTTAATTACGGACTCGGCCCCTTAGAAGCTGGGATCCTTGTTACAGCCATGTGGGTGAGTCCCTGGGGTACAAGGGCTGGAGTCTGATATGTGAGCCAAGGAGCCATGACTATACTTGGAAACGGCCACGGAAGACCCTCGGTGAGGCAGCAGTCAAGTTCGCAATTGCGTGGATGAGACGCAGACTCTGTTTCTCCAACTGGAAGATGTTCCCTTAGAACTGCGAGTGGGACGGTGCCTGAGCCCCTCCCCAGCCCCACGCCTGCCTTGCTTCAGGGGCAGTTCTGGGGCCCGTGCTGTTTTCGTCCGGTCAGTTCTTTGTGACTCAGCCCGATTGCGTCAGGTATCCACAGGGTTCATCTTAGTGTGTCTGCTTGCGGGGTGCCTGTGAAGTGGCCCCAGGTGCATCAGTGACCTAGGGCCTGGATGCCAGCACCCCCGGTGTGGCACCCTGCATGCACTCAGGGGCCCTGCACAGACCCTTTCTAGGGGCGGTAGGAGGAGCACAGCCTGCCATGGGCTCCCCTGCGATTCCAGGCTCCGACGCACAGAATGAGTGTTAGCCCCTCCTCGTGCCCCTCAGCAGCCGTGAGTGACAGCACTGTGCCCAAGACACCACCAGGGTTGGCTCTGCCTTAGTCACTGGTGAAGCAGCCTGAGGAAGGAGCTGCCTTTGTGCCAGACGGAGTTCTCTGTGTGTCCTTCATCCCTAAGCATGTCCACGCCACATAGCCGATCTCTCGACAGACGATGAGCGAACACTGTGTGAACCTGCTATTTCTGCTGAATGGAAGTCTGCACTTTATTTATGGCTGAGGCATCCTGGCTTCTGCAGTCCTATTATGCACCCCTCGTTTGGCCAAAGAGGAGAAGATAGGAGTGTGTGTGGGATAGGTTGCAGCTCGGGGAAGGTAGTGAGTGCCACTGAGTAGGAAAAGTATGCTGTGATTTACGAAATAAACCTTATTGCCCTTAAAGTGAAGTGTGTACATTAATGTCGTGTCTAGTGGGAGGTGGGTGGAACGGTGAATCTCTGAGAAAAAATCTGAAGACCCACACACGTGGGTAAGCACCCAGATATTCATGGAGCACCTGCTGCATGCGGGCAGACCCCCTTCCATTGTGCTGTGCTTTCTTGCGCCTCACAGATACTGCATTTCTTACACAATGAAGGTCTGCGGCAACCCTGTGCCGAGCCAATCTATCTGCACATTTTTCCAACAGCATGTGGTCACTTGGTGCCTCTGGGTCACATGTTGGCCATTCTCACAGCATGTCACCCTTTCATCACGCTGTTGCACACTTATTCACAGCACGTCACCCTTTCATCACGCTGTTGCACACTTATTCACAGCACGTCACCCTTTCATCATGCTGCTGCACGCTTATAGACTGCGTTGTAAACATAACCTTATGTGCACCAGGAAACCAACTCTTGTGGCTCACTTTATTGCGATGTTGGCTGTATTGCAGCGGTCTGAACCCCACCTGCAACATCTCTGATGTGCTTGTACTATCCAATACAGCTGGAAGATGAGCCCCCTAGAGTGGAAACTAAAAAAGAAACCCACTGCTGTGGAGTCAATCCCGACCCACAGCGCCCCTAGAGGACGGAGTGGAACTGCCCCAGAGGATCTCCAAGGCTGTCAGTCTTTAGGGAAGCAGACTGCCCCATCTTTCTCCCATGGAGCAGCTGATGGGTTCAAACCACAGACATTTTGGCTCACAGCTGGATGCTTTAACCACTGTGCCACCAGAGCTTTCTGCCAGTGGTACCTCACTGACATTCTCTTTCCTTGAAATTTTGCTGCCAAAGAGGGTTAGCCATCTGCTGCTTTAAATGTGTGACACACTGCATGACCTCGGGGAGGATGCCGGGCTCTGCCCCTCGCCTGCCTGGGCCGCTGTCTCAGCTCGAGGCTCCCCGGCCGCTGGGCTCTGCATCCTCTCAGCTCTGACATACTCCCTGCGCCATGACGGTCTAACCTCTGTGTCGGGGGCACCCATTCCTTCTCTGTGCCCTCTGTGGGCTGGGTGCTCGGCGGTGGGGCCGGCTCTGTCTGGCTGCGCATGGTGTCCTTGGGGCTGAGGACAGAGGCTGGCCCCTGGTGGAGCCAAGGATGTCCGTGTGGGTGATTACACAGCATGGGCGCAGTGACCGGGTGATGGTGTTGGGGCCGTCGGTCGATTCCGTGTCGTCACCACCCTGAGTGACCGAGCAGAGCCACCCCGTGGGGTTTCCGTGGCCGTGATCTTTATGGAAGCCGACGTGTCATTCTCTCAAGATGCTGGACGGGTTCACCCTGTCTGTCATCAGCTGAGTGTTTAACTGCCGTGCCACCGGGCTCCTGAATGGCAATATAACTGCCCGCCATCATCCCCAGAGAGGGGCTGTCCTTCCTCCTGAAGGCCCTTGAACATGGCGGGCTTTACCCCACTCTGAGCGGCATCACTCTGTGCCAAGATCATGTGTGAGAGTGGAGGGGAGATGACATGGGGCGGGGAGACGACACGGGGGGAGACGACACGGGGGGAGAGCAGGGTGGAGAGGACACGGGGGCGTAGCACGTACAGCACACAGTCATCTCGGTGCCACACCACTAACTGTGCTCAGTTCTTGAAAATGGAAATTTGCTGTTTTCAGAGAGCCTGTGCGTTTCCGTCCACACAGCCCATTCTCAGTTCTCTGCTCCCTACAGGAGCACTGGGGCCAGCACTTCCCACTCTGCACCTCCTGCAGCCCTGGGTCCCCCAAACAGCAGGGGCTCTTGTCCGGAGCGTGGGGGACTAGCACCTTCTGTCTGGCCTCCCTGTGCCATCCACTAAGGAATCAGGGACCTTGGGGTCATCCTTACTCTGGTTCGTCCTGGTTGGCCGCCTGGACGCCAGCTCACCAACACCTGCCGTGTCCAGTGTCGGGGTGTCTGTTGCATCAGAACTTTGTGAACCTGGAAGTTCAGTGAATCTTCACCCGGAACGTATGAGGTTTATCATCGTTCGGACGCCCTGATGTTGTGTGAGCCACAGGACAGAGCAGGGAGCTGGTCCCAGTGTGGCCCCGTGGACGCACGCCCAGGCGGTGACACTCACTGCCAGGGACCTCCCCCAGCCTGCCCTTGGTGAGCCGTCCCCAGTGCCATGGTCCTGACCTGCTCCAGGGCAGCATCCCCAAGTCACTTCAAGGTGACGAGGTGAAAATTCTCCCATGGCAAAAGGCAGTCCGGGGCAACATCACTTGCCTTCATGTCTGTGACAGACCCCACCCTGAGGGCTCAGCCTCCCTCCTGTCAGTGACAGACCCCACCCTGAGGGTCCTGGCCCACCTCGTATCATATCAGACCCCACTCTGAGGGACCCGGCCTCACCTTCCTAAGCTTCAGGAATGAGATGTTCCCTTGTCCTTGGCAGCTCATCCAGTTCCTGGGGACGCCTGGCCCTGGGACTGGGTGCTTCTCTACATCCCAGCTCAGCAGTTACGACCCCCAGTGAAGCCCACATCCACCAGTGAGGGGCTGGGAAGGCCCTGGCAGTGAAGCCCACGTCCAGCAGTGGGGGATGCTGGGTAGTCTTGGCAGCAGGAAGCACCAGGGAGGATTTACGAAGTGATTCAAACGAGGAACTTCCCGTAAGCTCTTTTTTATCCAAGAGATAAAGGTTTCGATGGAAAATATTTACTGCACCCGTGAAGCCGGGGAAAGGAATCGACTCACGAGGGTGATTTTATTTAAACATCTGGATGGGCTTCTCTGCGGAAGATCGAAGGGAATGACAGACTGTGAGCTGCTGCTCGGGGCGTCAGCCCCACGCCAGCCCACCGCTCTCGCAGTTGCAGGCCCTGAAGCCACGCTGACTGCCCTCCTCCACCCTCACGTGGACCAGATATGTCATGGCTCCCACAGGCTGGAAGGGAGTGTCTGGTGTCTCTCATACCCTGCGCATGGGAAAGCTGTGCAGTGAAGAAGGACGACCACGGAAGAGTTGATGCGTTACAACTGCAGTGTTGGCAAAGAATGCTGAGCAGACCGCGCACCAGAAGGACAAACACGTCTGTCCTGGAAGAAATGAACTGGAGCGCTCCTTCAAGCAAGGATGGCCAGACACTGTCA